CCGCCGACCTTCCGATCACTGACTCCACCACCTGAGCCACAGCTAAAAGAGGAAGTCCACTTCACTGTGCATGCTAACAGTGGTGTCAGTACAGTAAATCCAACAATACCACCAAGTCTCTATGTGAATTGCAAATGAAAACTCGTAAATAAAACTTCTTCCTTGTTGTCGTCTGCTGGGTTATGCAAAACTGAAAGTTTATCCTGGCCAAACTCTACAAAGCCTGTCATGCAAATTCCTGTTCTATTTATAGAGTTGTATATCTCCTTGTTTTAGAGCAAAGTCTTATATGATCTGTGATAAAGATATATAAGATATATGATAAAAAATGTATATTTGTACAGTGTCACACATGATACCAAAGCTTACAAAAGCGATGATGTCTGTCGGATATGATGTTTTATTTGTGCACCAAACAGCATTAATGTTTTGTTTCTTTTGCACATTCTGGTATCCTGTGGCCTAAAAACAGTTTATGTGGGTGATGTTGTCACAGTGATGCGAAAGGAGACCTAGATACTGTGTACTGTGCGTCTCTGCTCTACTTGTGTTTACACACTTCCTCAGTAATGACCTTAATAAGGAGTCATGAGCGCTACGAAGCAAACACGTCTCGTCACACGGTCCCATTCTTAAGTTTCGGGCCTCATTCATGCAAGCAGCCTAAATAATTTCACGTTTTAGGCTCACATCTTTTAGGATTCTTTTACTGAAGGATGTTGATGTTTTTCATTCAGGAGAGTAAAGATCTGCAGTGGACATGTCGGGAAATGTGTCGAGTGTTTTTGTATTTAACAGTGGGCTGATGTGAAATGATGATCAAGTGGAGGAACATTCCTGCAACTGAGGGGTGACAAATCCACAAAACGTCTTTTCCTGATCATTCTAATCTACATTTTATGAACAAAAAGGAAATACCAGTGATCAGGTGTCACCAGCTGACATTTCTTACAGTGTTTTGAACTTTAAAGGTGAGCATACATGTGATTTATTTTCACGCGGTATATATATAATGCTACTTTACAACACTGAAACCGAGTTCATGGGCTGGTGATTGAACAGGACAATGGTTTTATTGATTTGTTCCAGCTGCCAGTGTTTTATAATAACTAAATGAATTTACTGTCTCCGCTTTTTTTTTTTCTCCGTTAAAGGTGTTGGACCTGCTGTAGCGATAAATCAAAAGCTTTCTGCGCTAGTAATCATCTAAACTCCACTCAGATGATTACTTTTACTCTCTTTTTAAAGTTCAGGTTATTAAAAAACCCATCAGCTCACTTTGAGGTGCGTCTCAAATGGCGGGTTTTTTCTCCGAGAGCTGCTTCCTCTTACACACAAACCGCATCATGTGAACTGCGCACGGGTCCGTACGCATCGTGTTTCGGTGACAAGTTCAAGTTCAAACCTGTCCGTACCGGTTTTTGTGTGGTTTGCTCTTAAGTGGCTGGTTGGTTTGGCAACACCTGTTATTACCAGGAAGCAGCACCTGTTACCTGCGGTGACAGCAAGTGCACTTTAACGCTACAGGTCACAGAACTCTGGGAGCAGCAATACAAAGTAATGCCATTTTAATGAAGGACTCAGGCAATTATTTTTCCCATTATTCTGTGAGCAATCTTCATCAGATTTTCTTGTTGGACGCGGCATGAAGCTTTTCATCCAGCAGCTCTCCGCGGCTGCTCCTTCCTGTTCCTTTGGTCCCTGTTATTTCCAAACTGATTTGCCGTCCATCAATGTTGAAAGTGACTTTTTTTTTTTTTTT